CTGCCTCTTCTGTGTCAGCCCCTCCTCTTCCTCCAGGCAATCACCACTCACACTGTGATGACCACAGATTAACCAATTTCTCTTCAAGCTCAGGCTATCATCGAGGACTGCAGTTTCTCCTGCTCCTTCCCTCAACATACGCCCAGCTGTTGCGCGTGTCGGTAGTTCTCTCTTCTAAGGCAGTGCAGTATTACGGAGTTCCATGGCTTGTTCATCCATTCACTTACTGATACTCTTTGGGTTGAAAGGTTATTTCCAGTTTGAGATGATTATGAATAAAGGCACTATAAACATTCCAGTACTAGACTTAGCATTTACAAGTATGGGGTCAACTGATGCCCCAAAGTTGAATAAAATCTCAGATTTTGGCCCCTATTTGCAGACTGCTAGTCTAAAAAGACAGCTTATTTTGAAATGTCAATTTCTGGTGATTCCCAGTACGGAGGGACTTTCCGAGACGTGCTCTTCTGTCCTCGGCCAGCCTTTGGCACCTGCAGAGGAGAGCCTGAGTGTCAGCACAGTGCCAGGTGCTGGGGACCCAGGAATGGAGACCCCGAGCTGCCGCAGGCATGCCCAGCGCGGCAAGAGCTCCTCCTGGGCACAGCAGGAGCTGGAGGGGTGGGGTGGCCATGCCTTCTGCAGAGACTCGGCCGTTTCTCAGAAGACTTCCTGGAACAGGAAGGAAGGAGACTTTGCCAGGCAGGACAGAAAAGCCCAGGGGCACAAACTGGTGTGACCCACGGCTGCTATGCACAAGGAGAGGAGAGCAGGCCCGGGGTCAGGCAGGACCCTCTGGGCCATGATGAACTAAGGCATTTGGACCTGACCCGGGATGAAGCTCCAGGGCCAAATTTTAATCAGGAGATTATTAAAGAAAACAACTCTGTGTTTTAGAAAGAGTGTTCTAGCAGCCTTGGGGATTATAAAAGAGAAAAAACTCTGGAAGTAGAGACCAGCTAGGAAACCACTGCCCTCAGTCAACTTAAGAGGTATAGAGAACCGTCTAAGGGGGTATTAGGTGAAGACACAAACAAAAAATGAACAAGACAAATAATAAAGCTCAAGGATAAATGAGATTCAAGGACGTCCTGCACGTGGGGACTCAGGAAGAGAACGCCAAAGAATGAGACAAGGAGCCGGGTTCAAGGTCAACTAAACGATCACAGCTGCCATGTGCCAGCTCATCATCAAGGTTCTGGACCTAACAAACCCACAACCACAGCCGCCATGATTATTTACTGAGCACTTTCTAAGCATCAAGCCCTCTACCACATTAATCCATGCAACCCTCCTGCCAACACCAGGAAGTAGGACTGTTCCAAGTCCCAGCTCTACAGAACAGGAGAATGAGGTATGGGCTGAGCTAGGATAACACCCAGAAAGAACTAAGCACACTGCCTGGATGCTGCAAACCCTCACTAATGTTAGCTGTTCTCAGCTATCAACCATTAGGTTCTGCAGTCAAACTTGAACATGCCTTAAACCCTCCATATCAAGCCAGTCCTTTAGTTTTCAGCACAAATCTCACCTTCTCTTTCTTGAAATTAACAAATTGCCCCCCTTAATCTCCAATTATCGACTAAGCGCCAATTATATGGCCATCACAGAAAGGGATAAACAATAAGAGTTCCGTCCTGTCCTTACAACAGATGACAATTTAGCTGAGAATCACTGGCTACTCCGTGCTGTGAACTCCAAGTTCTAGATTCCCAGAGGGCAGAGTGCCTCTGAGTTGGAAGATCAGAGACACGGACAAGGAGAATGAAGCTAAAGTGGACCCCGAAAGGTGGAAAGAACCAAACAAGAAAATAAGAAGGGCCTACTGCACAGAAAATTTGAATAGTAAGCATACAAGAGCATGTCCAAACCAATTTCTGGAATTGAAAGGTATATAAGCTACTTATAGAAACTCCTTGCAAACAAAAACCCTGATGAGTAAGCTTCAGCAAGAGATAGCATTAATGATAAAAGGTATATCAACTATATGTCAGGTGCTGAACAAACCTTTAGATAGTAAAACTACAACCTGAAACCTCAATAGAATTACTATCAGTTTAGTTGAGTTCAGTCGCTCCTCAGTCATGTCCGACTCTTTGCGACCCCATGGACTGCAGCACTCCAGGCCTCCCTTTCCATCACCAACTCCTGTACACAAGACCAAAATCCATGTTTAATGTACATATCATATCCTCCTCCCTGTGTGTTTATGAGGTTAATTTCTGCAAGAGACAAAATGGAGTAAGTCTCCTAAAAGCATGATGCAGAGCTATTTCAGCTTCTCATTCAAAACAATTAAAGGTCATAAGTTGCTTCACAAATGTACTGCACGGGGGAAAAAATGCTGAGTTTCCAAAGAAGTGGTGACTTTTGTGTTTTACTTTATGAATAACATGATCACTTTATACTTCCTTAAAGTGTGCCTGGCATAGTGACATGCACACAAGTTTTTTCAATGAGACATCATCTGCTGACACTCCTGAAAAAGGAGAAAAGGTTTGAACAAACCTGAGGCCAAAAGAAGAAGAGATTGATTTTACTTGAGATAAATCTAAGAAATGACTGGACTGACAACACTGCAGTTCCCAGGGCCAACAAACGACTGCGGGCTCTGCCAACTCATTTCAAAAGTTAATTTCCTAATACAAAGCCAGAGAAATTGAGGGGTAACCATGAACAGACATGTGTCCAAGAAGGTACTTTCTGAGAAATACTCTACAAGCTCCTAAAGCAAATAAACAGCTTACAATTTGGGCAAACAACCCTAAATCATAACCAACATGCAGCACTTAATATTCACGTCTTTCTAACATTTCCTATTCAACTTCTCTAAGCATTAACCACACTGACAGAATGACTCCTTAACACAGGAGTAAATACTCCCTGCTGACTGGGGGCAGACCTTGAAAGAGTTATAAAACCACAAGTTGACAGTTTAGGGAACAAAATGTAAAACTTCCTTAAGCAATTATCAATGTGGTCCTAGGCTTTACGGCAGGAAATAGTAGCTTTATGTTATTTAGCATTTATAGAATACTTACAGGTGCCTCCTCACCTAAGCTCTACAGAACTATAAGGGAGTCTGTGTGGTACAATATTCTCTATTCATACATTATACCAGATATAAAAGCAGAGCAGAAAGAAAACAGGTTTAGCCTCAGTCAGACCTGATTTCCACGGAGGATGACCCACTTCTACGATCAGTGTGAGTTCAGACTGAGGGGCGCCAGACGACAATCAATGCCCCATCTTACTCTGAGGACTCCCCGTGGCCTGAACGGCAAAGTAAGACCCGGCTTCTTCCTACCTATCCTCAGTTCTTCTACTCAGAGGTATTCAAGTGAGCAGACAAAAATACTGAGGTCTTGATTTTCAACTCCTAATACAGCAAACACTTTACATAATAAAAGTTCACCACATCTGAACTCAGAACCCCTCCATGTAACCCCTAACTTCAGTGGCTAATTCTCTGCATCACTCCTTGTGACTTCAAGAATTTCCTGCAGTGTTTCTGATGCAGTCTCCAAGGTGTTGAAAAACCATGTACATTTTAATCAAGATCTTTCCTCTTGAAAGGCTGAGGATACAAATGGGAAGGAGGTAGCTTAAAAAGAGAACGCCCCAAGTCTGATATTCCAGCTTAATTTCTCTTACACAATGTTAAACACTATTCAAATCACAAGATGAACTGACTGATGCTTCTCAGCAGCATCACTGCTGCTGCTGCTACTGCTAAGTCGCTTCATTCGTGTCCAACTCTACGACCCCATAGACGGCAGCCCACCAGGCTCCCCCGTCCCTGGGATTCTCCGGGCAAGAACACTGGAGTGGGTTGCCATTTCCTTCTCCAAAGCACGAAAGGGAAAAGTGAAAGTGAAGACGCTCAGTCGTGTCGCTTAGCGACCCCATGGACTGCAGCCCACCAGGCTCCTCCGTCCATGGGATTTTCCAGGCAAGAGTACTGGAGTGGGGTGCATCGCCTTCTCCGTAGCAGCATCACAGGTCACCAAGAATTTCACTTAGCCAACATGTGCACCCAGGACTGGAACTCAGAAGCCCTGGGAGATGGAGCACAAAATACTTCTTCCAGATTGTATTAAATACACATCCTTGGGCGGGCACTTACTCTGTTGGCAGCACAAAGAAGAAGCGGCTGACCCCACACCAAATCCCTAAGAGCGAAGGGGCTGAAGAACTATGGGTGGGCTCCGCCGCCAGCTCTCCCGTCTCTCCAGGGGCGGCAGAGGGGACATCTCCACAGAGAGCTATACTCCCGGGGTCAGCAAGCAGACGGGCTGGCCCAGCTGCTGCTTCTACATGTCGACCAGCATTAATTCTTCCTAATGTGTTCAATCTCTCCCTAAGCCGGGCTAAAACCCACTCTACATAACAGGTCTGGACACCGTCAAACCTCAAACCCAATTAGAGATGTTAGGGTAACAGTCCCCTGCTCCAGTATTCTTGCTTGGGAAATCTCATGGACAGAGGAGCCTGGCAGGCTACAGTCCACCGGGTCGCAAAAGAATCGGACACAACTGAGCTACCAAACAACAATACACACTTAAGGGAAGGATCTCCCAGGGTGGTTCACAGGATTCTCTTCGGTGGCCCTTTGAAGACCACAAAGGCACGGTTCTTTGCCAGCGGCTTTACTGGCTGGTCTGGCCTCCTCTCTTGGGGACAGGTCACATTGCTTGCACGATGCTGAAGCCACACTGCGTCCCGAGGTTCCGGAAGGAGGGCAGGACAGGGGATCAAGAGCAGACGGATTGGAACAGCGCGCGGGCTTCCTTCACGCGGGTCCTGAGGCGACGCCAAAAGGCGAAGGAGCAGCTTAGGCGTCAGGTGCCCAGGCTGACCATTCGCCGACCGCGCAGTCCAGAGAGGGAGGCTGCGCGGGCCCGGGGGTCCCGATTCCCCAGGAGATCCGCGGGCCGCGCAGCAGGGCCGGGGCTGCACGGGCTCAGGACCCGGGCGGGGTCGGGGCGCCGCTGTGCACCCACCTTGGCGCGCTCTCAGCAGCATCGTGTTGGCCAATAAGTTCTCGAGCTCCATAGACGACCGTCGTCGTCTTCGCCGCCGCCGCCGCCGCTGCCGTCGTCTGGCTCTCTGGGCGGGAGAAAGCGGGGACAAGGCGGGGGCCGACCGCGGGGCGGCCTCTAAGCATCGCTCGCCCGACTCCGCGTCGGGTCCCGCGCTGGGCCGCCGCTCCTGCACCTGCCGCTGCTGCTTCTGCTGCCGCGGCCCCGACCACGGCCACCACTCTCGCCGCCGCCTCTGGGCCCGCTTTCTACGCCGCCGCTGCTTCGTACGCTGAGGGCGCCCGGCAGCCTCGCCTCCGGGGCCGGGGGCTGCGGCCGCGGAGCGGGAGGGCCGGTTCCCCGCGGTCACCGCCGCCGCGCCGTGGCCCAGGCTGCCGGCCCCATCGCCCTGGGAGCGGCTCACTGGCCGGGGCACCGCCCCCGGCGGCGACGGCTAGTGCCGCCGCCGCCGCCGCCGCCGCCACCTACTCGCACAGCGGCCGGCTTCCCGCCAACGGCTCTCCAGACGAGGGAGCCAGAGCGCCCTGAGGCGGGGTCGGTGCCTCGCGGGCCACGGCCGCTCCCAGAAGGCCCCGCGCGGGGCGGAGGCGGCTGGGCGCGAGCGCGGCCTGCTGGGAGTTTTAGGCGCTCGGCCAGGGGGCGAGAAGGCTGAGCGGGGGCGTGGCAGTATTTTACCCGACGTTCCTACTTCTCGCTGGCTCAGTTATCGCGAGATGCGGGCGGCTGTCTCCGGTTGCGGGGCCGCACGTGTCTACTGAGGAAACGGGAACCGCCCCGCCGCCGCCTCCTAGTCCGCACCCTGAGGTGCGGCGTGTGTAGCCATGGGGAAAACCAGGTCTGCCGCGCGCGGGAAGGCCTCTGCGGCCCCGGCGGGCCCGTGGGGCGGCCGGGCGAGGCCGAACCCCAACCCATTCGAGGTGAAAGTAAACCGGCAGAAGTTCCAGGTTCTGGGCAGGAAGACGCGCCACGACGTGGGTCTGCCCGGGGTGTCGCGCGCGCGGGCCCTCCAGAAGGTCAGCGGGGAGCCGGGCCCTCTGCGGGGGAAGGGGGGAGGTCCTCCGAGGGGTCCCCTGCCCTGCCTGCCGGCTCGGACCAGCCGCGCGGCCCTGCCCTCCCCACCCACTGTGGCAGCGCCCGGGCGAAGGTCCTGGTTCCCCTTCTGTCCATAGGATGTGCCAATGGTACCTACCTCCTGGGGGGGGGGGGGGGACGGCTGGAAGGGTGGGACGCGTCCCCTGAGAGAGTCCTCAGGACGGCGCCTGGCGCCGTGAGACGCCGTGTATGTGAGTGTGTCATGTGTCGGCTGGACTGTGTGCATCCTCTTGCCTCTGCTTCTGCGTGAGATGGGAGGACATCGCCCTGCAGAACCGATGTCGCTCCTTGGAGCACCAGCGCACAGGTCCAGCCCCCTCTGGCATAGTTAATCACTTCTGTGCCGCCCTGGTCACCGTGGGGACCTCTTAACCGCCTTCCTTGAGACTGAGCCCTGCTGGTTTAGGAACCCTGGATCTTTTTCTGCCGTGGATAAGGGATTACACAGGCTGCTCAGTAGATGTTTGGTGAAGGAAGCACATAGGACTTCCCAGGTGGGCTCAGACCGTAAAATAATCTGCCTGCAATGCTGGAGATGCGGGTGCATTCCCTGCGTCGGGAAGATCCTCTGGAGAAGGAAATGGCAACCCACTCCTGTACTTTTGCCTGGACAATCCCATGGACCGAGGAGCCTGGTAGGCTACAGTCCGTGGGGTCGCAAAGAGTAGCACGACTGAGCGACTTCACTTTTGAAGCACATGACTTGGTCCTTTGCAGGGTAACTGAAATGCTAACCTTTTTGGAAAACCTCACAGCCATCCCTTTTCTTGTGCTTAACGGTCCCGGACTATTCTGTACTTTCAGATTCCATTCTGCTGCTATTCTCTATGTAGCTTCTGAGACATGCTCATTAGGTGGTTTTAACTATTTATTGTCATCCTGAGGAGGGGACATCAGTAGGTTAGTGAAAACATTCAGGCAGAGAAAGGACAAGTACATTTTGTACAGTCAGGCGTCTGGTAGGGGCCAGGGTGTGCACTGCGTTTGAACACCTGGGAAACCTTTACGTGCCACTGAGCACTCTTGTCTCGGCTCTGTTCTGGCAGGTGAAGGGGTAAAGGCGGAGTAACCCCTGACCCTGTCTTCATGGGCTCATAAACTGTGCTGACCCACAGTGTGCGATCCGACTGACCCGACTGATCCGACTGATCTTTCAATGGAATCAAACATCAACCTTACCTGAAGGAACTGGCAGCTGTAGTAGACAAGACAGTCCTGACTCCGACATGCCCCCATCACACACCTCAGGGCAGGCTGGGGCAGGGTGGGGGGCAGCATGAGCTCCAGAACAGACAGATGTGTCTTCCCCACTTAAGCCTAGTCTTTGCTCCTTAGGAGGCTGAGGTAGGAACTGCCATTGTCTCCTTTTCAAATGAGGCCGCAGGCACCTCCCAGAGTCTGCACTGGGAGGCGGTGCTACGGTGGGATTCCAAGTCCTCACTCTTGTCTCCACCTCCTGGGCAACATGTGGGTGTCCACAAATGACCCAGAAAGCATTGCGAGTTTTGGTTTGGGAGCTCAGCGGTAACAAATCTGTTTGCAGTGCAGCAGACGTGGGTTTAGTCCAGGATCTTCCTTCCCATGGAGGAGGAAATGGCAACCCACTCCAGTATTCTTGTCTGAAGAATCCCATGGACAGAGGAGCCTAGCGGGCTACACTCCGTGGGGTCTCAGAGTCAGATGTGACTGAAGCAACTTAGCACACACACAAATTTTAGCAGTAGACATACACAAATATGAAATCCACAAATAACAAAGACTGACCATATATACGGATACTGGCACATATATGAACATAATCAGCCCAGGACAGGCAGTGCTGCTGCAGTCTCTGCAGTTGATGGCGGTGTCGTTGTTGACATAAACAGCTTCTCAGCTCCTGGTTCCCCGGTCTCTCTCTCAGCTCGTCTGGCCGCTTCACCTGGCAGAGTGACCTCTGAGCACTCGATTGTTCTGCTCTTTTCTGGTTCCTGTTGTTTTGCTGTAACCTTTGGTGTTAAGCACAAGGTACCAACACTCCCTAGAGAATCCCCTGGGTTCCTGATCTCCTCTTTGACTCTGTTGTCTGGCAGTTCCCCTCAGTAATTGAGATCAGTTTTTGCAGCCAATAGATTGGCCTTTCTTGGACTGTCAGTGGCCTGAGGCATAAAAAATGGCGTCTTCAGTTCATCAGAACCCTCGTGTGTCCGCTTGTGGAGGTGGCTGCCCTCTGGGGCCCAGATTGCCAAGCCATCAGAGCTCAGAGTCGCCAGGACCAGTGAGAGACAGTTCTGTGATCTGCTTTTCAGCGCACCCAGACTCTGCTGAAGGAGTACAAGGAAAGGGATAAGTGCAGCGTGTTCCGAGATAAGCGCTTTGGGGAGCACGACAGCAGTATCAGCCCGGAGGAGAAGATGATGAAGAGGTTTGCCCTGGAGCAGCAGGTAGGGGAGACGGGGGAGGGTGCCCTGCTGTCTCCTTGCCCAGAAGTCAGGAGGAAGAGGCCAGTCCCCCTCGTTCAGTTATGCTTCTGTGGGTGACAGCGGGGAAGCATGAATGGTGTGACTCTCCTGGCTAGGCCCAAGGGGAAGCAGCCTTCTGCACACACCAGCTGGGCAGAGAGATGCCTCAGCCAGAGCGCACAGCAGTGATGCCTCCTGGAGTGGGTCCGAGGGTGGCAGCAAGGTCCTAGTGCGATTTCCAAGCGCCTTAGACTGGCCAGTTGTTTTATTTACCTTCTGTAAGTTCTGTTTATATCAGAATCATCTTAAAGCTACATTGACACGTTGCACAAAAATGGAAAAAGTAACTTTTTTTAACTTTAAATGGATGTGGAAGTTTTAGGAGATGCACTTTTTTCCTATCCTGTAGCGACAACATGAAAAAAAAAGCATCTACAACCTAAATGAAGATGAAGAATTAACTCATTACGGCCAGTCTTTGGCGGATATCGAAAAGCATAACGACATTGTCGACAGTGACAGCGACGCTGAGGACCGGGGAGTGCTGTCAGGTGAGGCCTGGGCCCCCGGGCGCTCTGCTCACCATTGACATTCTTCCCGCCACTCCTGCCCAGACACCGAGGAAACGCAGCTGTAGACCTCTAAAAAGGTGCATGTGTACGGAAGATATACAGACTTCTGTAAGCTGAGAAGGCGCTTCTGTATCCTTTTCTCTCATTCGAACTTGACCCCAGCTCATTTTACCCATGAGCTCAGAGAATCAGGGAGATTGTCCAACCCAAGCATCAGTTGTAGGTAAAACCCACCTTGCTGATCCCTGGACAGCACCTCTGTGCAAACCCACTCTGCTTTGCCGCCACTGAGTCGCCAGTTCTGACCAGCTCTGTTCAGGGACAGTGTTTATCTGGTTCTCTTAGGCTTCGTTTATTCCAGAACCAATTGTGGCAGTTTTGTGGGGAAAGGAACATTGAGCTTCTTGTTTATAGGGAATAATGAAGGAGATATACATTGAACTGAATTAACACTGACATGCAACTGAACTGAGTTAGGAGTCAGCTCAGGTCTGATCATCTTGGGCTCTTTTATAAAGTCAGGGTCATGTCATTAGTTTGCATCCTTGTCGATTAAAATACTCTCTGTTCAGCAGCGTCAGAAAAGCTGCTGCTTTGTGGTGTGTGGAAAGCCAACATGTTAAACCCGTGACTGCCTTTTGGTTTGATGCATGGGCAGGAGACCTGGGAATGAGGGCAGATCGTGGCTCATCCACAGCCCAGGAGGTGGGCACAGCTGCCGCAGCTCTGTGAGTGAGAGGAGAGCAGAGTTCATCTCCAGAGACTTTGGTTTTGCACTTTCTATTATTCAGAGCTCTTTCTGCACATTCCCCTGTTAACGCACACTCACCTGCACTGTGGGTGAAGATGCCCATACGTTTGATGGCCTGACCTTTGGTCACATGGTGAGCGGCCCCTGCCAAGTTGCT